GCCTCCCCATGCATCTTCGGCATCCTGTGACGCGGGTGAGGCGTGGCCTCGCATCTTCTGCGCCTTCAACGACTGTGCATGGTGCAGCGAGCACGGGGACGAAGAAGAGCTGTTGCAGCACCTGCATCAGCATCACCTGCCACAGCTGGAACCGCTGCTGCAGCTCCTGCCCGATCCGAATGCACAGGATGCACTCCTCAGCATTTACAACGAGGCCGTGGCGATCAAGTGCCGCCTCGCAAGCTCCTCTGGCAGGATCTTCCTTGGACCGCACGGCGTTGCGGTCGTTCGCCAGAGCAACCTCTGGCGACAGGGCCGAAGCGCCTGCATCCACACCCGAGTCGCCGAGACAGAGGACGCAGGCAACATCAAGTGGCACCGGCCACTGCAGCGAGCAGCGGGCGCAACGTCGGCCACCTTCCTGGGTCGGCCGCTGTCTGAGATCGCCAACATCCTGGGCCTGGACTCTTTCCTCGAGAAGTACGACCGCCTCGAAGGAGACCTGAAGTTAACCACCTTCGAAGACTTCGCGCACTGGCGCGTGCGGCTCCCGAGCAACGACGGCGGAGAAGACGGGCCCTTCTTGCTATGCTGTCCGGAAGACCACCGCTGCGCTGCCCATCCTCAACACGTGGCGGAGGGTCGCTTCTGCGAAGAGTGCGAAGTGCCCCTGTGCAGCGAGTGTCACCAGCGATTGAAAGCCGGCAAGCTGCCGCCTCTGAGCCTCTGCAACGACATGTGGACTGGGTATGCCCCGGAGCGGCTCTACGCGGAGAACGTCACAGTGATGGAAATGATCTGCGCAAGCCCGTGCGTCACCACGCTGATCTGCATGTCCATGGAGGCCCGGTATCGGAGCGACAGCTCCTCGCTGGAGGAGAAGATCCACCCGCTCGACGAGAAGGTCCACATGGCCAGGCACCGACTTGGGGCCCGGGGCAACGCGCTGACTTTCCCGCTGGCTTGGGAGGATTTGCTGCGCAAGCTGCAAGCGCATCACGGACTGCTGGACTCCGAAGCAAACCAAGAAGCTCCGACGCAACTTCCGC